CACACACACACACACACACACACACACACACACACACACATGTCACACACACATACACCCCCCCCTCCCCCCCCTGGAAAAAAGTGTCCTTGCAGCACCCCTCCCAAGGCCAGGAGAACAGTCGGTACTGCCAGCAACAGGCAGAAGGGCATACCGAAAAGATGCACGGTACCGGCAGGGGCATATGAAAAATTATTGTGTTTGTACTGAATGGCTATCAGATAGGGGCAAACTGAGAATCTGGCACGGTTACCGGTGGGGGAATTTTAAAAATGTATCAGGACCAAACAACATCGGTTTTTTTTTTAAACGTGAATCGTTGTTAGAGGGCAAATTAGGGTAACTCGGCTGTCGAAGGGGCAAATCACAAATAAACACAAACTTCAAGGGCATTTCAATTTTTTTTCCAAAAAACAATAAATACAATAAAAACTAGAAAAACAAAGAAAGAAAACGGATCTGATTTCCAAGACAAGCGGGAAGCGGGAGGGAGAGAAAGAGAGACAAAGAAAGAGACAGAAAAGAGATAGAGAGAGAGATAGAGACTGAGGGAGAGGGAGAGAGAGGTCAGATCCCTTTTACTCTTCTCAAAACGATAATGAATCTTCCGCTAGAACATGGAAACATACAAGGTCATGATTTTTGTCTTTTTGCGTGTCGAGAGTTGTGCTCGCAAGAGCGCGCGCGCGAGAGAGAGAGTGTCAGCGAAGTCGTTGGGGCCCAATGACCATGATCTCGCCGCAATTTGCTGACAATCTCTGTGTGTGTGTGTGTGTGTGTGTGTGTGTGTGTGTGTGTGTGTGTGTGTGTGTGTGTGTGTATGTGTGTGTACGGTAGCTTCAGTACAGTCACAAAAACGAGTTATAATTGCACTTCAGGCACCATACCTGACCAAAAACCTGGGTTGTATACATTGTCCGAATTGCAATCCCAAACTGTATCTATATATATATACGTCTGTATGACGGTAATGATGGTAATGAACTGTGGGGGAAGATTCACTCCTGTTATATGGTGAGAGAGAGAGGGAGAGAGAGTGAGAGAGGAGAGAGAGAGAGAGTGAGAGAGGAGAGAGAGAGAGAGAGTGAGAGAGGAAAGAGAGAGAGAGGGAGAGAGAGTGATCTCTCTCTCTCTCTCTCTCTCTCTCTCTCTCTCTCTCTCTCTCTCTCTCTCTC